CAATAAAAGAGAAAATAATTCAACGTGTCAGTCTACTATAGATCTATATCATTGCGCAATATTTTTGACTGCATAAAATAAACGTTAGGTCAAGAAAACGGTGAATAACAACAACCATTTAATCACTTAAAACCAACAATTAATCCCAATTAATTGATGGTTTTCGTGATTAATCGCGATGGTTGACAAAGTCATCGATTAATCGCGATGCACGAAAAAATTATCATTTAATCGCGATTAAATGACCATTTTTTCCCGAATCGCGATTGAGCGTCCATTTTTTCTACCATCGCGATTAATCGACAAAAATGAAGTGATTTTCAGCACATGAGAAGTTTTAAGTAGTCTTTACAAATCTGTTAAAAGTGCATGTAGATTGTCTGTTGAAATATGAACACACTCATACTCTCCATTTAATTATAAATGAGAAAAACAAAAACAAAAGAAGATTTTAGTAAAGCAAATTATTCAAATTGCTGAAAAAAACTATCACGAACAACATATCTCATCTCACTGTCTCTCTCATTTTCTATAATTATTCAAAGCTAATTGTATTATTTAGTAATAAAGGAATAAGTATTAGCACCATCATAGTTATACATTTGTTTTCTGTAATAGTCATTCATTCATTCACCTAGAAAAAGTGAACACATATGCCATGCGTTTTAAAATATTAAAAATTTTTTGTCAAAATGTTTACAAAATAAACTTTACTTTTTATGAAAATTATTAATTTCTTCAATATTTAAAAATAATACAAATTCTTTATTTTGTAAAAATTCTGGAACATCATTTAGATGACGACACAGTTCATTAAGATAATACTAGAAAAATAAAAGAATAAGACAAAAACTATTAAGCATAATTTACATTCAAAACCAGAATCTTTAAAAAATTTTAATCTAACATATTTTTAAATGTATGTTAGTTCTGACTATAAATCATAACATTTTTTGCCGTAGAAAGAAATATTAATTAATGGTCATCATCATCCCTTTACTTCCATTAAAAAAATAAATAATTATTTACATGACATTACCTGAATACATTTATTTAAACTGTCAACATAAACCCGTTCTAGCGTTAGTAATTCATTGAATATCAATTCTTGTTGTTTTGCTGATTATTGTATAGGGGTGCCACAATCAACACCATAAGTAGATGGCGCCACAGAAGATCGCCTGATGGTAGCGGCGCCATCTACTTATGGCCTTGATTGTGGCGTCCGCTACAAGTGCTTCAGTAGTTCATTTGATACACACTTCAAAATCACAGTAAAGTGGTGCCTTTACTCCGTTGCATTGCTGATTAATTAAATAAAGAACATTCGTTTTATTAGGATAACAACCTAATTTCACATCATCGGATACAACCAAAGCATCAATCTAAAGTAAAAAAAGTAAATCAGACCTAAAGCTGAACAACAATTAGGCAAACTTTCTTAAAAGATACTTTAGAGTATAGAGACACAAATATAAAATTCACATTTTCCACGGTTTTGTGAAATTTTTCTGTCAGTATAGGAACACTTAATGCTGAAATATATTAGCGCCCACGAGAAAACCAGCTGATTTACGACGAAATATTCTAGATTATGTTTGGCTTGGATGCGACACTTGGTGGAAATGAGAATTTAAAAAAATTAAAAACTTTATTACGAAGAATCACACCGAAACCAAGAAGCGGGCAGTGTACGTTGATTCGCTTGTGCCGCATTTCTTCGCTCCCTTCTTTGAGAAGAATCTCTTAAGGGACACCCACAGAAAGAGTCATTTTCATTCGAAAAAAGTCACTTTTCTTTCTCATACATCAGCCCAGGTCGCTCAAAATGGCCAAGTTTTTGTATAAGTTATTGAATTTTTTCGTTTCGACGAGGAGGGCGATCCCTAACATTAAATTTGCTAAAACTCGGTCAAAACAGCGAGTTAAGAGCTCAAATTTTTTCACATCATAGCCCAGGCATCTACTAATAATCTACAAAGATTCAGACCTTTAGCTGTTATACAGAATGAATAATCGCTTTTTA